GAATGGAATTCTTCTCCCGATTTGGGTCCTCTTTTTCAGTCAAACCCGCCGCATGAGGGTTGCGCCGGATTGGCTACCGTTCATGACGGAGAGAACTCCAGGCCAAGTGATTCTACTTTGGACTTCAAGCGTTGGAGCAGAGATTTTGAGTTACGAGCGGCGCAATGCATCAATACTGCTGCAGGCAAAGGGGATCGAAGCTTTTGTGGAAGGGGTGCAATCACTAGACCCAAAGCCAGAAAGTTGAATGCACCAATCCCCAAACCGTCCCGTCCAGGTGAAATAGCTCAAGCTTCAGGTTTCCTTAACAGAGCTGTGTCAGCGTGGTACAAACAAATGAGGCGCATTCAGTCGTACCATCATGCCATCAAGTCAGTGCGTGCTGAGGCGACTTATTTTTCTCGCATGGCCTTGTGGCACAGCATTCTTGCGGCTCCTGGTTTTGTTGGTGGTTTCCGTTCTTGGTGGCTGTCCCGTCCTTTTCAGCTCCAAGGAGCACCCCGATCCTTGCCTGAATTTGCCCCGGATAGGCATGTGGCTGCCTTGATTTTTGAGGACTTCCTCCAAAATTTCAGACGTTTTGAGCATTGGCAACTGAATAGGCGCAAAGAAAGCTGCAAAGCAAAGCTTTTGTCCGACACCCGTGCCCTGTTCGCTCATGTTCGTCAGCCAAGCAAGCCACCTTTGGATTTCCTGGTGGATACGCATGAACAGGCCATTACAGTGGTTTCAACGGCTGACTGTGTTGTAAAGGTGCCCCATCCTTTCCCTGACTCCAATGCCCTTGTCTGGACTTTGCAGGGCGAACCCGCTAGAGTAGCTGCAAGTGGCGACATTGGCCATTATACAGTGGAGTCTGACCTTGTCCTGGCCACCGGCCAGACCTTGGCATGTCAGGAGATGATCACAAGCACTGACATCATCCATGACAGACTGTGCCAGTTGTGGTCTCCCAGATGGAATAAGCATGTGGACACCCCTCCCGAGGTGTGGGCTCAGGTCTGTCAATATGCCTCTAGCACCCTTCCTGTTGGTTCGGTCAATCTTCCTCCAATCACTGTTCAGGACTTCCGCCAGGCAGTCAAATCCTTCAAGGCCTCTGCGGCCACTGGGCCTTGCGGTTGGACTAGAAATGACTTGGCACACATGACGGAGCCACAGATCCAATCGGTTTTGGATGCTTATCATGAGGTTGAGAAAGGCCGCCCTTGGCCTAAGCAATGGCAAGTTGGACTTATCCACTGTCTTCAGAAAAGGGAGGATGCAACTGCGGTGAATGGATTTCGACCCATCACAGTCATGAGCCTATTCTACCGCCTTTTTGCGGGAATCAGATCGGGGCAGATCCTGGCACAATTTTCAAAGAGAGCCGATGACTTTCAATGTGGTTTTATGCAGGGTCACCAAGCTTCTGACTTGTGGTATTTCATAGGGGTTTGCCTTGAACTTGCCACGCATCAGGCTGTTCCGGTTCATGGGATCACGGCGGACTTGGTGAAAGCTTACAATACCTTGCCTAGGACCCCTGTCTTTCATTGTCTTGAAGTTTTGGGGGTGCCTGCCTGGTTTCTTGCGGCTTGGAAAGAGCACTTGTTGTCTTTTGAGCGTTTTTTCGTTGTCCGTCGATGTGTTGGTGAGCCTGTTTTGTCAGTCACTGGATTTCCTGAAGGTTGTCCTCTTGCGTGCGTTGCAATGACAGCCTTGGATTTTTTCTGGCATTGGGCCATCCGGTCTCAGGTCCCTAGAGCCCTTCCACTCAGCTTTGTCGATAACCTTGAACTGTTATGTGACAGGTTAGATGATCTCAGTGCTGCGGCCCAAGCACAAACTCATTTCTGCTCTGCCCTGGATTTGGAAATCGACACTCCTCGCTTGTTTGCCTGGTCGTCTGTTCCTTCAGGACGTCGTGAGCTTAAAAATATGGGGTATAAAGTTAGCTTGGGGGAAAGAGATCTTGGAGGGCAAGTCATTTACTGCAAGCAGTTACGCAACAAAGTGTTAACTGACCGCATTGCAAGTGTTTTGCCTTGCTTTCAACGTCTTCGCACTGCAAAGATCCCAGCGAAAGTGAAAGAGTTGAACATCAAGCAAGTTTTGTGGCCTCGAGCCTTGCACGGGGTTGAGGCGGTAAGCATAGGGAAAGCCCATCTCAACAAGTTGCGGACTGGTGTTATGAAGGCTTTACACTGGGACAGAGCAGGAGCATCACCTTTGGTGCGGGTTGGATTACTGCATCATGAATTGGATCCAGCTTGGCAACAACTTTGGAAGGTGGTTTCACTTTTCACCTCACAATGTGGCAAGAGTGATACATTGCGTGATTGGTGGAAAGGTTACTGTGCTCAGCTGCAAGACACCCAGACACATGGCCCGTTTGGCAAAGTCCAGGCGGAACTCAATGAAGTTGGGCTTTCTTTGGACGAGAACTGCAAAATTTGGTTTTCACAGCGGGGGTGCATTGATCTGCTGATGAGCTCGGCAGATTTAGTTCGACGCATTCTGTTGTTTCATTTCCACCAGCAGGTGGCAAGCCAGGTTCAGCAGAGAAAGGGTTATGAGGACCTTGACGGTTTTGACTGGGGTTTGACGATCTCAGCAGACGGTCACCGTACGGTGGCGGAGGTTGAACAATTGATGATCATTCGTGATGGTGCCTTTTTCACGAATGATGTTTGCAGCAAATTTGATGCCAGCAAAAGTTCAATTTGTCCATGGTGCCAAAAATCTGACACCAGACTGCATAGGTACACCACTTGCTCCAAGTATGACGATATCAGAGGCCGACATCAGGTGCTTTTTCAGGAGTGGGACGAATACCCTCGGTGTGCTCAGACCTTTGGGCTAGTACCACGAAATCCATGGAAGATTTTAGCACTGGAGGCCCTGTCGAGTTTGCCAGACTTGACAGACGATTTTCAGTTCATGCCGAAGGGACAAGTGTGGCATGCTTTTACTGATGGCTCTTGCGATCCTTCTTCGTCACCGGAGGAAGCTTTGGCAGCTTGGTCTGTTGTCATCGCTCACCATGGAGCTGTAAGTGCGGGACCACTTCCCGGACCACAACAAACCATCTTGCGTGCGGAAATCTATGCAGTGATCAGTGCCTTGCGGTGGGCTGCGCCTTACTCTGGTGATTTGCATTTGTGGGTTGACAACCAAACTGTAGTGGATCATCTGAGGTGTTTGATCACCGGCACGGCACGTCCGACAGATTTTGAACATGTGGACCTGTGGACACGAATAGGTTCACTTGTAGCCCACTCCGTAGCTCAAATCTTTGTGCATAAAGTTGCCAGTCACCAAGATGACGCAGATAGCATTGGGCCAGTTGAGGATTTTGCAATTTACTGGAATGACCAAGCAGATCTCCAGGCCAAATTGGCCAACAAAAGCCGACCACGGTTTTTCGACAGTGTTTGGGATAGGTATGTTGGTTTTCGTGAGGTTTGGAAGAGGAGGGTTCGTTTGTTGATTGCTTTTCATTTGGAAGTGGCGGCCAGAGACTGCGAAAAAGCCCCGGAGCAAGACCAAACGGATCTCTGGGAAGATGAAGTTTCACCATTTTCCAGTTGTATAGAGACTAGTCCCAACGATGCCAGTTTCCATGTGCAGTTCATGCATCTGAAGGACAGTGCTTATCATTTTACTGATCAACATGATCACCATTTTCGCACCCTTAGCAACATTTTGTTCAACTGGGTGGTGGAGCAGGATCAGACTGCTTCCACAAAACGGTTAGTGAGTTACCTCGAAATCTTTGTTTCTATTAGGGTTGTTTTTGGGGGGCCTCTTGTTGGGTTTTGTAGTAAGTATTCGGTTCCTACCTTTGCTTCTGAGTTCAGGTACTTCAAACAGGTGCTCACTCACTTCTTTAGACAAAGTGCTGGAGTGGTTTATTCCACTAGCGGCCACCTTCATTCGATCGGGATCTACATGCCACAGAGATGTGTACAGTTTGGCCTGCAACACGTTACAGGTGAAGCAGCCCTGGCAAGCTTGGCAAAATTTGTTGGAGATCGTCCGATCCGAAATGCACAGGGCTTCTCACGGCCTTTCAGTGTATAGATTTTGAGGTGTCTCCACGATGGAGGCGAGCTGTTTCGCTTTGACATTTGGACACACGGTGCCTGCGCTTAGCCGGCCCTGTGCATGCGAGACCGTGCGCAATATTGATATCTATATTTCTAGGTTTTGTTATTGTTTGAACATGTGGACCTTGTTGGTCAAGATCGTATCTGATCTTATTTGTTTCGCGCGTCAGATCCCTGCCATTGCACTTAATTACATGATGGTTTGTTTCTAATTGCCAGAAACTCATTTATGTATAATATTGTAAAATATTGTATAATATTGTATAATATTGTATAATATTGTATAGTATTGTATAATATTGTAAAATATTGTATAATATTGTATAATAATGTATAATATTGTATAATATTGTATAATATTGTATAATATTGTATAATATTGTATAATATTGTATAATATTGTATAATATTGTAAAATATTGTATAATATTGTATAATATTGTATAATATTGTATAATATTGTATAATATTGTATAATATTGTATAATATTGTATAATATTGTATAATATTGTATAATATTGTATAATATTGTATAAGATTGTATAATCTTGTATAATATTGTATAATATTGTAAAATATTGTATAATATTGTATAATATTGTATAATATTGTATAATATTGTATAATATTGTATAATATTGTATAATATTGTATAATATTGTATAATATTGTATAATATTGTATAACATTGTATAATATTGTATAATATTGTATAATATTGTATAATATTGTAAAATATTGTAAAATATTGTATAATATTGTATAATATTGTATAATATTGTATAATATTGTATAATATTGTATAATATTGTATAATATTGTATAATATTGTATATCATTTCAATCTCTCTGTTTTCTCAAGGTAGACATATCCATTTCTCCTGTGTTCCACCGAATGTCCACTCGAGGTCGATGATGCAGAGGACTACTACACAGAGGTCAAGTCACTGAATGGGGAACGCTTTGTGCCATTATCCAATATGGCAATGGAATATCCCTATAGCCATCTATAGCCTATAATATATAATTTATATATATATATAATATGTTTATAATATATATATACAATATGTATATAATATATATATATATATATATATATAATATAATGTATATATAATATTATATATAAATGTTACAGTAATTATAAATGAAGGTTTTAATGGGAACATCATCTTGATAATGGAGGTTTTAGTGGGAAACACATATCTACAAATGGAGGTTTTCATGGGAGAATCCACTACAAATGGAGGTTTATGGCTGAGAAACACTTCCAACTAAATGGTGGATTTTCCAGCAAGCCGTGTTTGATGACACCAGAGGGTATCCCGATTTCAGGGGAATGTCATCAATTCCATTCCAATCAGGATTCATATAATGAAATGGGATGGATGACCAGAGCCCATACACTAATTGAGCAGTCTTCAAGACCCCAACTGATGGTTGCCGGGGGGTTATACTCTACTATCCAATATTGGGGATTATCCAGTCTGGGAATGTGAACCAGCCAGTAGAATGGAATACGGATTGAGCGGGTTTTATTTAGTTTAGGCCCTTGAACATGTGGATGTTTGAATTAACAAACACGAGGAGTTCGAGCACAAACTATGGAAAGAACGCGAAAAGACATACAGATATATACATATATATATACACAATAGATTATTACGTATGTGTGTATATATATATAATTGTATGTTATGATATATATATATATATATTATATGGACATAGTACGATTCAAGCTACAGGTGAGCAATCCATTCGTGGTTATATGGGCCTCGAAATTTGAACCCATACAGACATCGAAGTGGAGAAACCTTGCAGCTGGTGAACTATTTTGGAAGATCAGGGACCCAGGGACTCACAGATCTGTGCTTCAAGCTGCTGTTTGCCTTGCTGTCATCGTACTCTGCTCGGAGAAGTCTGATAGTCTGCTTGGGATCCTGCCGCTTTTGCCCGAGGAAGTTCCGAAGAGGGATGACCACCCATGTGATGATTGCTCCTGACGGCTGGCTCGAGATTTTCCATGCGTCACAATGGAAGTGAAGTGATCGTCAAAAGATGGTTGTTGATTGTGGAGTCTTAGGGAACACCGACTTCTTTACAAGTACAGGAGAATAAGTGATACATCAACATCATGTCAGCAAAATGCTAGTCGAGAATTTGCAGCGCTTTCAGTTGAACAGCTTGGTAAAAGCTGCATGACAGGACGTCTCGACCTTGCAAGATCAAGGTGATATACACAAGATTACACAAGTTACTAAGGTCATCTAAGGTCACACTCAGTTCAACCCAACTTAGTAGCTTTGTAATCCATTTCAGTCTTGTCAGTCGTCACTGGAAAGCCAAGTTTGGGTTCTACGTAGGTGATGTTCAACCCCAGAGCGCAAACTGTATTGTACGTATATATTCTTGTCAAGGAGCGTTTATCATTCCTTTCATATCCTGCCTGGGATGAAGTTGTCCATGCAATATGTTCAAGGAGGATCAAGGAGGCAGAAATCGCCATCTGCGTTGTTTCGGCACCATTCGTCTACCCCCAACCCCAGGCCCAGTCCCACCGAAACACCCAGCGATCGCGTCTTCCGCTTTCTGCTGCAATGGCGGGATCGATGCCGTGGCGCGGCCGCTATGTGGAGACCCCTTGCGGGCGCTGGGGCATTTGCTGCAAGGAGACGGTTGACGAGTTGGAGGCAGAACGGGAGCTGGAGATGGGTCAGATGGTCATGTGTTTTGTTGTGGGTCAGATGGTTTTGTCTTGTTGTTGCATTTTTGTTTTTGTGTGTGTGAATGTGTGTTTGATTGTGTCTTTTAGGCGTTTTTAGCTCTCAAACATGTTGATGTTTGAGCAATGTTTGTGGGATTTGGCCGGTGATGAGATGCCAACACATTCCAACAACATGCAACAAAGGTTGAGATCGTTGGGGATTTCAGCAACGGGGACCAGCCAGAATGCGAGATTGCTGGCTGGTGGTCGATGATATTGGGGAATCAAGCCAATAAGACATCAAGATCGAAGAAGCAGCAAGAAATGTGGATATAAAGCTAGACATGACATCACGAAGGTTAGTGTGGGACATACCGACTTGTGAATGACTACGATATGCAATCTAGATAATCAATGAAATATGACAACCCAATTCGATTGGAAAGGTTTCAACAACGTTGATGGACCCTTTCCAGTTCCAAATATGTCCAAAAATTATCATAAATCGGCGTTTCATAGCCCAAACTAGCATTGTCAGTTCAATCATGGCAGAAGTCCAATCACAAATGGAGGGGCGGCTTTGGTCCCAAAATGTCCCAAATATCTCTATGAAACCATTACTTAATGAGAGGAACGGGGGATGGGACAAGCCATGGCCATGGCCATGGGTCCCCATGGGTTTCTGTTTTCTGCTTAGCCATTTGGGGGATGGGATTATTGTAATTTGTCCAGATGTTGAAGCCATGAAATTTCCAGTTTTTTGATGTTGAACTGCCCATCCTTTTGGGTACAGTTGAGCAGCATTCAAAACTGTGATGTCGAGAGAAAACCTGTGCTTAAACTAAGTTATGCCCGCGAAAGCTGAAACCCACATTGGCGAAAGCTCGGCGAAAGTTGCGCAAAAGACAAATCGAAAAGCATCCTCGCGAAAGCTTCCAAACAAGTGGTTTTTAAAGTCCGATGGTCATGTCCCGATTCATGGGGATGTTTACGTGTCAAATTATAAGGGTTTTGTAACCACTAACATGTGTTCGGAGATCATTTCCTAATGTACTCATCATTTCTCAGCATTTCAAACTTACTTCCGAGAGTAATTACGGCACAAGTCCATGGAGAAAGTTGTGAACGAGACTGTACGGGGTTTACACCAAAGGCATTGCTCGGGGCTGTAAGTTTCAAACTTGGACAGGGATATTTCATCACGGCCATTACTCGCATACAGTAAGTTGGGATATGGGGCCCCTATAGCTATGGTTCTAAAATGGTCTAAACTGGAACATACTGGAACTCTTCGTAAGTGTGTCATATAACATCATATGACATCATATAACCATATATATCATAAATTATATAAGCATATACACACATATTTATATATATATATTATAAGCTGCTTGTATGTGGATTATATTATATTATAACCATATTATACCCAGATTATAACTATAACCATATTAATCCATATGACACCAATTTATACCATATATTCCCATATAATGACCACACACATACATATATATATAAGATACCCCAGTTACATGGCTTCCTAGATTCTTAGCCACTTGCTAATTGGTGGCTCATCCCACTTAGTAAGTGGTTTATAACCCCAGTTATTAATGTGATAAGTAGGGTAAATCCACTTATAACTGGGGTTATAACCCACTTACTAAGTGGGATGAACCACCAAGTAGATCCGCGTCCTGATCTCAGGTGTTGCTCGACAGCGACAGCTCCACCGCGTCGGACGCACAGTGCGCTACGTCCACGGTGGCGCTACGACCCGAGGAGGTGCGGCGAAGTTCCTGGTGCGCCTTGGTGGACGAAGGGCCTAAGGGGGGTGTAAAACTTGGATATGCTGATGGCTTATATGGGTTATATTAAATGTTGTTTTTTAATGGGGATGATATAATGGGTATACAACATTATACAACATTATATAACCCATCATCATAATTATATATGTAATGTATATAATGGGTATATAGTGAGTATATTTTTGGTGGGTATACACTTGGTGATGGGCTATGGGGATGGTTGCTGGGTTGCCGGGACCATTCATATGGAGTTTTTTTCAGTGGTGACATCATGTTGTATGAATAGGTAAATGGATATATATATAAAGGATTATATGATGAATGTACATGAATGTGCTATAATGATCTATAATGGGTGTAAGAGGGAGTATACAAATCTAAGGGGATTATAATAATGGGTATATTTGGTTTGTAACGGTTACTTGGTAATACAATGATTATAAACACGTTAGATGATATCATGGTTATAATTTGAAAAGTGTGAGGGGTTCTATGGAGATGTATCCTTCGGCAAAGTTCGATTTGTCCAGAAACCGGGATACCCACAAATATTGCAATTTAGTTCGATTTTTTGTTGATACCATGACCCTAATTAGATAATAGCATGTTATAGCCATATATGCCATATGAATATATACGTATACGTATACGTATACATATACACATCACAATTATACAAACCAATAGATGTATAAATATACATATATATATATATAGATGAACATATAACGAACACATATATCAATCACTATCATTATAGAAACCATTAATGGATCAATCACTATCAACCTTAACCATTTTGCAAACCATTACAGAATCCATCTCTTTCCCTCCGAGGCGCCTTAGGGACCTGCGTCCTCAGCAGCTTCGGGCCCGGCGTGGTCTTGCGCTATCGGGTGGAGGATGACATGCACGAGGCGCTGAGCGCGATTGCCCTGGCGATATCATGAGGAAATCAGGGATTTAAAAGCAAGATACATTGGGATGTGCTTTAAATATAAATAAATACAATTTTATTATTTATTTATTTATTTGCCCATTTATATATATAATATATATATATATCTCTTATAGATAATGGAAAAGAATTGAGTGGAATAGAATTGGGATGTATTTCATGAGATTCCTTAAGCCACTTTCACTGACTATGGGATTTCATGGGAAGTAGGGGTTGAAACAGCATGAAACAGCAGTTGATGGGAGTATAATGGGATATGACTTGGGTACAAGGTGGTGACCCAGCTCGTTAGCTAAGCTGGTTTGTGCTGGTTTATAACTCTGATGACTGGGGTTTATGATAAATGGGGGTTTCCTGAAATAGGGGTACCCCCAGTCATCATCTATGTTAGTAGGATTTTCCCCAACAAAAACCATCCAGCGATTGGGCTACCCCCATGACTATGGAAACCCCCAATCGAACTGCTGCATGGGGGCACTATACACCAAGAAACACACGGGTTCAACTCGGGGGTGCCACCTTGTATAGATGGGCCATGAAGAATTGGTGGGTAGGCCATCAATAAGTGGGGAACAGATCCAATTTATAGGAAAATGATTGGTATCATAATGATTGGATATGTTATGGAATATGCTTTAAGGACAAATATAGGGATCTATTGCATATATGTTCGATTTCTAGAAGTGGAATGAAGCAAATGGGGTATTTGTGCCATGTACCCTTGGGTAATCGAAAATGGCAATGGACAATCCACCATAATTTATATGTTTATTCCCTAGCCATAAACCTTGATTTAGTTCGGGATTTCCCAGCTGGCCACGTTTGATGACCGGAGGGTACACCAACGGCCGGGGACACTCACAGGTTTGATCAAGTACAAATCGGCAATTTTACATAGCTATGTTAAATTACCGGAGGGTATACAGAAAATACATCTCCATAGCCCAGTTACATTTGCTCACTGCTCATTTGTTGGCGGGATCAATTCCTTTTTCGAGACATTGCCTGCCACATCAAAAGGTAGGTCTTGGGGATTCCAAAAACTGTTTCCGGATGGATTCACCGGCAGTGTCATTGTCATGTCTTAAGTAGTGTAATTTTGTTTGAACCTTGACATCAGCACTGATTCCTTCAACATGACATCTATCTATCTACCATGCATTATCTATAGCTATCTACCTACCTACCTACCTACCTGCCTGCCTACCTACCTACCTACCGAATCTATTAATCTATGCAGGCTGGAACTTGGAGTTTCAGCCCCCCCAAGGCATTTGGCCCACCTCGCATTGCCGCGCGAAGGTTCAGCTGTGGGGGCCCTTGAGCCAAGGGCAAAACCGTGCCTTCCTGCGGCGCGAGGCTCTGCAGGAGGTGCCTTTCCTCGCAAGGGCACCTGCGATGGGCATAAAATGGGGATTTCATCTGCACAGGTTGAAGAACAAAAGTCCACATATCAGACACGCAATGGACTACACAAAATGAAGTTGGAAGAGAGCCATTAGATGGGTCAATTTGCACAAGAACAGGATGTTCACAGGCACACAGCAAAGTCCAAAGCAACCGTCGCCAATGAACAATTTGACTCTGCCTTCAAGAACTACAGCAACTTGTTCTCAGTCAGCAGCACCAAAGTCCAAGGCATCAAAGCATTGGAATATGATATAGGATATCTCAAATTGTTAAATGTCGAGACTTCAAATTTAAAGATTATTTCATATTATTTCAACAAATGCAAGGGACTGCAAGTGAATTCAATCTTTGAACACCTTAAAGAGCAAGAAGGCCAATGAAGATGTTAGGTGCGAAGTCAAGAATAGAAGGCATGAAATCACCAACGATGAGAAAATAGTTGATTTTCCAAATCAAATGGCAACATAAATAGAAGTGCAGATGGGCAGGATGGAAACATCAGAGAGTGGATTATTCATAAAGCAAAATGAACAACTGAACTTTGATTATGACACGTTATGACATACAATCCATTTCGTGACGGCAAGTTATGTAATTCCACTGCCGAAGCGGTTTTCCAACGAGAGTGCGTGTATCAAGATCAAAAATCAAGATGAAACATGTTACCCGTACCTGTTGTATATATTCCGCCCACTGGCATTTGTAAAGTTTTTGAGAAAGATCACTTGGCCACGAGACTCACGGATGAACTCAACCTGGATGTGAAGAAAACAACGATGGAAAAGTAGCCGTCAACGTTTGTTGACCCCAACGAAGGTCAGCAATCACTACTGTTGTATAGGATAATTCTCCAAGGTTTAAAGAACATCTCACCAGATTAGTCAATACTAGTCATCTGAAATTGGAATATCGGAATTGCTACCATTTTGTTTTATAATTGTGATTACTGTATATCGCAATCGTATCCCCATTTTGGCTTGGTACTGTGACATGGACACAGCTTGCTGGTGAAATCCGCCAGGATATCCCCATTCTGATGGTCATGAATCTGATCGATCCCTATTTTGATTGCAGCTTGTTTCCCGTCTTTGTTGTCAAATCACCAGCAGAATCCCTTCCCAATGTTCAATACCAGCCAAATGAAACCCTGCATATTGGATCATATTGGATCTATAATTCAAATTTGGGTCCAGTGGGGATACTCCTTGGTGGTTTGCTCCATATCAGTTTCAACCCCATGACTTTGATCCGGACTCCTTTACCAGTTCTAAGTCAGTTTATAATGAATTTAACTCAATATAAGCGATAGAACTTATAAAAACGGAATAGTAGACTTCATGTACAACATTATATAACATCGTATAACATCGCATAACCTTTTTATTTCACTACAGAGGCTTTATATAACTTTGGGGATGAAGCTCGACATCGATTCCCCCTTTTGGAGGTCCTCCCTGCGCTGCCGGGGCTCGCTGTAGAGACCTCTTCGGGCTCGGGCATCTGCCAGGCGAGCGCATCTGGTGGGTGTGGCAACGGGACGAGCCAAACGCGAAACGCAACGTGGCGGCCGCGGCTGCTGTAAAAATGGTAATTTATCCATGCTTTATCCACCAAAGCTTTGGGAAAACTGAGGATGTCTTCCAAGTGAAATGGAGATCTAATCAATCTAATCAACAAAACTTTGGTTTTTCCCAAGACATCCCAAGACAACTTATTGAATTCATGTCAGTGTCTTCGAAAATGATGGGTTTCAGCAACAAAGGATTGAACATCTCAGGATGTCCTGACATCGCTACGATGAGTTTTCCTTTTCAGCAAGCCGCTAGGCCGCTAGGCAGTATCAATGTGGCCGTGAGGCCGTTTTCAGGTTGTTTCTTACTCGTGAGCTTGAGCGTACTGCTACTCGAGAACTCAATCCTTATTCAGGGATATTGTGGACACTACCACCATCAGAAAATATTCAGAAGATAATTATCCACCTTACTTATTCAGAACATCATTCCTGCTACCACTCCTGCACGAAATACCCTCCCACCCAGCTTCGCCAGACCGTGGAGCCTGAGCGGATCTCCGTGAAACTCACGGAAGCAGGCCGGGTATACGGGGGGCGCCAGCGGGTCACATGGGACCGATGTGACCCATGTGACCCGTTCATTGCCATGTGACCCATGTGCTCCCTGATTTCGGGGATCGGGGATGTACGGTAGCCATCCAAAAATGGAATTTAGCTACTGATATGCAGTAAATACATGTGAATATGGCAGAACAGTTGGGGATATTGGTTGCAAGAGAAGGAGATACAACCGGATGAACTCACTGTAGATGTTGGTTGGGATTGTGGAATTCCCCACCTGCCAGGTGAGGGTCTCTATATAGATTGTAACAAAGGTGCAAATCCTTCTGCCTCCTTCTTCCTCCTTCTTTCTTCTTCTTCCTTCTTCTTCCTTCTTCTTCCTTTTTCTTCCTTCTTCGTCCTTTTTCTTCCTTCTTCTTCCTTCTTCTTCCTTCTTTCTTCTTCCTTCTTCCTTCTTCTTCCTCTGCCAGCTCGTGGTGACTGAGGGCACGCCTGGACCCGAACCCTACCGCAAGCTCCGGATGCAGCTGGGCACGCCTGCCAGAGAGAATGCCAGACAGAGTGCCGGAGTGAATGTCTGCAAAGATGCCAGATAGAATGCCAGAATAGATGCCAGAAAGTATGTCACAATAGATGCCGGACATTTAATGCCAGAAAGAATGCCAGATAGACTGTCAGAGTAATTATATATGATATTATACGATTATATATGCCATTTCCAAATGATATGTCAGAAACTATGCCAGAATACTGTGTCGTGGTGGGGATCACTCAAAGTAAGGTACAGTAATTATCATTGTTTTTGTTTAGAAGGATTGCTCCATGTACCCTCTGTCTTGATAGCATAGTCAGCATAGTCAGCATATTTTTTGTTGTACCATCATACCATTAACCAATTCTGGGCACCCGTATATTTACGCATCTGCAACGTGCATCAAAATCCTACAGGTTTAGGTAAGGACACTGCAACATACATCAAACATTTTTCCGATAGGCTGAAGTAGCATTAGCACCTCTAGAATCAACTAAACACCGCCAAATATCGCCATTTATGTCTCCTAGCGCCGCTCTTTGTCACTATTTGGCTACCCTGCCATTGGCAGATGCAAACTATCTTGGACGTCATAAGGAGTCACTGGTTCAATTTGATTTATAATGATATTATTGATATTATCCGTATTCCTTTCCATCACGCCGGCGGGGTGATTTCAGTGGTTGCATCAGTTTGGGGTCTGAATGTGACCAGTCGCCCAGAAAATTCTCTGAATCGCCCAGTTCTTCCTGAGGTGAAGTTGTCTGGATGTCGGCCAAAGATGTTCAATGTCCAGTCGCCAAAACTTTACCGTTAGTCGCTCGCAATGGCATTCAGAGCAAGTTTCGGGGTGAAACAATGGGAAGGACATGGGTCACCGTTGGATTCCTTGGATAAACCAACGGATTCTGACATGACCAGTCTGGTCTTCAAAAACTGTCAAAGTTTAACGTTCAAAGTTTGACACACACCTGTTCAAAATTTGACGTGCATTTTTTGGTGGGGGTAACTCCAACTCTGAGAGCATGTTGTCCCTTTCAAGATTCCTTATTTCAAGGGTTCAGCCGGCACAGCCAGTTTCATCACATGACTGCTGTTTGGGCTCTGGTTTGAGGTGAATCGATTTTTGGATGTTGCTGCCACCATGGTGAAATTCCATTCAGGCGCCTCTTGATTTGGGTACCCAGAAAAGAACGAACGGTTGGAAAATGCTTGGTGATTGGGTTGAAACTTGGACTTTGATGGTGGAATATCATCTTCTATAATCTATTTGTTCAACATGTTTAAGGATTTTCCAAGTGTGCCATGTCGCAGCCTTGTATTTTTTTTTTACTGGCAGGTTTTTGTTCGCCAGTGAGTAGATCCTAGAGCCTTGAATAGAGAATTGTCCAAATATTCCAGCTTAGTTTGTAGGACGACCTTTGTCAGTTCCTCAATGCTTAAACAACTCCAGTGCAAAGGCAGCGGTGTAGGTTTGCATGACACTCAAGAAGAGTCACAGGCTCGGTTTTCGAAATTCATCTCAATAATATATCTCAGTTTTTTAAACCTGGAATTGGGATAAATTGGGAATTTTATTGCCGTTCCATTTGTTTGTTAAATGTTCATAGATGTTCGTATCCCTCAAAACGGTATATAAAGGAATCCACATGTCAATGGGCAATTCCCCCAAAATGGGCGGTTTTATAAGGTGTTTGGTCCAACCATTATAGATTATGAACATGTTTTCTTTGTTGCTATTTAATCGCATTTTTTGATGCTTAAAGTTAAACCCCAGTTTTTGATGGTAGAAACTTCCATGCTTAATAGTTTCCGATGGCAACAAGTTCCATGTTAAATGGTTAAACCAGTTAAACCCAAGTTTTTGAAGGTTAGATCCAACTTTTGAAAGTAAAATCCGACTTTTTGATGCTCAATATCCATTTTTCATACTTATAGACCCATTTTTGAGGCTGAGATTGTGTTAAATCCAACTTTTTGATGATTAAGTCATATTAACTCACCATTTTTGCCGGGAAAACCACGTCATTTTGTTCTTGATGTTGGCTAAAGGCCACTTTTTCATGGTCAAACTCCAGCACGTCTACGGTCCATCCATCCATAAACGGCTCGTAGGGATGCTGCTGCGCCTGGCGGACGCCTTCCAGGGCTTGGGCTTGGAGCGGCTCCAGGCGCGGAGTTTGGCTGATTGGATGGGCTATATGGAAGGGGGTGTATGATTTTGATGTGGTTAAATTAATAAACCATTCCCCAGTCATCACCATTTTGATGGGTGGTATGTTCAGCATTCCCAAATGCATGGTTTATGGCATTGTTTTAACCACATTAATGATTTTAATGGAAGTCAAGCATTAAATATGGAGGTCTTTGGGAGTTAGCATGAGTTAGCCATCTGAAATAAAAGGATTTTCAGATTTTGTTTACTGGATGTTCATGAAATTTCACCGTGGAGATGGGAAATTGAGATTATTTATTTATTTGTATTTATTTATTTACTACTGTATATAGTCTTCTTATTCTTATTAATTCATAGGATATGTATAAGATTCTTATAGGCATAGGCTAAAACAAAATACACCCAATGTTTATTGGATTATTAATGGTATTTGTATATAATCGTATATTGTAATATATATATACATTGCCATCAAATATAGAATGTTTAAAGGATCTATATAACATTATAGAACAGGATTTAATCGTGAAACATGGAGGTTTTACGGAGTTGGCCATCAAACATGGTGGGGAAAAATAGATAGCCAGCGTGGTTTACAACTACAATAATTGATGGGTGTATGGGTGATAGAAATAATCAAGCTGTATATCTATAGTTAGATACGGTTATACATCAACTACAATTTATAAATCAACTTACAACTGGGATGTTTACCATTTGATATGTTATAGGATGTTGATGGGATTTAGCCATCACATATAATATGTTTGAATGAGATAGTGAAATTTGAAGAAATCTGTATAAGATCTTATACGATGTTTCGAGTTTAGAGGATTGCTTGAGGATTTTTACCATTTGATAGTTAAACAGTTTGCTATGGAAGCCATGGCCCGTTTAGTCCGATGAGTTGACCATGGCCAGGTTTAAACAAAACATGACCTGATGCTTCTAGGATGTTTATAGGATTTTACTGTAATGGGAAATCAAGAATCAACTGGCAGCAGTGGTTACAATAGATCCATAGGATGTTTATAATATGTTGATGTTTTTGTTTTTGAATAAGATCCTAATGGGATGCTGATCGGATCAACGATCCTATTACTTTCTGAAGCAAGAACAATATCGGAATATCATTGAGTCATTATGGTTGGTTGATGATTAGTTTGGGGGCTTCCTGGTGGCCTGGTGTTTCCCTTGGAATTCTCATCATCCATCAGCTGGGAATCCCGTTCTTAAACAGCCGTTCTATAGGGATTACTTTGGCAATTTAACACAGCTATGGAACATGGATGAACATGGTCCATCTAAGGATGATTTACCTATCCAGAATGGTGATTGTCCATAGCTATGCTAAAAAAACCAGAGTGTGACATGGAAACTGGAGGAATTGACATGGAAACTAACTCACAAACTGAATGAAAATATATTTGGATAAATTAACTTACATGGAAACTGGAGGATTTGACCCGCAAAGGTACAATCCACAACACATAGTGTGGGGGAAATTAACTCACAAAGCAGCATCGGAACAGCAGATTTTAACCCACAGCACAAACAAAGATATGGGATTTTATATCAGCCACAAAAAACATGTGGCAACTGCTGGATTTATACGAAAATCCACAACCCAACTGAATTCTTGAGAAGCTCACTGGCAAAAGCTACGGGAATGCAACCAACGTAAAGTGGCGATTTCACCATCAATCCCCGATACTTCCTATGCTATCCCCAGTTCATTCCATTTTAATTGGCTATGTTCCATTACAATGAAAATCCCCCAACATGGATGGTTTGATCATTATGGATCCTTAAAATGTCCGATGCTCAATGTTCTTGTTTTGGATTGCAGAGTATTTGGTTATTATTCTTGCTGGCGAATTTTCATCATGTCTGACCAGATTTGTTGGTCACATCGCAATATTTATTTGTTGATAAATCTCATGTCAAACGGTTAAACAATGTCAATCCCGAATTGTTGTTGGCCTAATTCCCCGTTTCTGGCCTATACCTTGGGTCCATCGGAGGACCTGCTGCTGAGCCGCGCGAGCGAAGCAGCTGGCACAGCGCTGCAGCTCTGGGCGGCTCGGCAGCGGTGGATATCATAGGATTTTATAGTGGAGATATGAACAGGGGAACATTCATTGGTTGATGGGAAAATCTTACTGTAACCGGAAACCATGTGCTTTACAGGGAAGTATAGGGCGTTCCTGTAAAATTTCCATAAATTTCCCATAAACCGATCCTATGATGGGGGCAGGATGATAATGACTGGGTATATCCAGACATGTGGTTCAAAGTAAAGACCTGTGAAACCGCCAGCTATATATATATATATATATAGTTTTTTTTTGTTTAACAAACCATTTAAGGACGTGTGTTGGGTAAAACTGGGGGTATCACGGTATATAACGTGATGTAATCAACAGTATGATGGTTGAAGTAAGACCATGATATGATGGCTGTGTGTTTTGGTGGTATATTTTTTTAGATCATTGAGGTGCCAAGCGTTCAACGCAAAGTCGTCCAATCAACAAGGATCATTTCTTACAGATGCCCCCCAGCCAAAAGTTGGATGTTAAACCGCATTAACTATAGGTATACCTACCAGACTCTAGGTATAAACTTAGTATAAACCAACATAAAACAACTTATTTTTGTCGGGGGCTCCACCCTGTATATTTGGGAAACAAAACATTCTTGGTGTGCTGAGCGCAATGTATCTAGATAAATCATTATAGCTATATCCCCACTATAGCCCCGAGATGCCCACATTTATCTCAATGAATTCTATTTGGACCCCTCCGGTAATCAAACATGGCAAGCTGGAAAAATCCCTATAAATAAGAGTGTTAATGAAATCAATAATCTATAAAAATGTATGTAGGATTTTTCAGCCAGCCATTTTTCTATGATCACAGCCTACCCTCCAGTAAACTAATGTAGCTATGGACAGTTAGCCGTTTATAGATGATTTACCTATGAAAATTGTGATTTCCCATATTAGCAACCTGTTTTTTATTGGCAGAGGGTATCGCCTATATCACTGGGCTGAGGATGACTTCGAAGCCAAAGAAGCAAAGGAGCTTGCCGAGTCCTTGACACGTGGCGGCAAGCAGTGCAGGGGAAACCGCAGGTGAAAAAATGGCATCTCAGGACGTACCAGTGGATGGAATGGGGTACCTTATCTTCACACAAGCCCGCAAAGGAGTGTGTTTATGGTACATGGTATATGGGGTGCTTTGTGTAAATATGATTTGGATGCAATTTGAACTTCAAATTATTGGAAGTCTTGGATGTTTCACCAATACAACAGAGATGTTTCAAATTATTATACGGCCTGTTTTATACACGGTGAACGGGGTGTTGCTCATGGGCCACCAAGACCGGACGCTTGTTTGGGTCTCCATCCCAGTTTTATAGTTAGTGTGCTCAATATCTACTATTTAAGTATTCTAGCTGCCGGCTTTCCATTTATAGATATATATATACAGTATATATATATATATACGTATAACTTGTGCCAGTGACATACCAACTGGGATTCCCAAAATGGTTCAAAATCATCAGCGCCCAAAATGGTTGGACGAATAGGACACACTTTGTTGGGTCCGTTGGTACCCACTTTATATTATTGGTACTTGGTGGCTCATCCCACTTAGTAAGTGGGTTATAACCCCAGTTATAAGTGGATTTACCCTACTTATCCCATTAATAACTGGGGTTATAAACCACTTACTAAGTGGGATGAGCCACCAAGTAGTGAACATTTCGCATCATGAATGATGAAAACATAGGTCGGGCAACCCTGTTTCAGGGCTGTTGTGTTATTGTGACCGCTGAGTTTCTGACATAATTAATCACTTCAGTTTCCTGCTAAACAATATGATTTTCTTTGGCGAATTCGAGTGAATGTACGGCCGCCAAAAGTGGTACTGACCAAAAAGTACCCATAGTTGCAAATCGGCTTAGGACGCTATTGAACTGGGGCTAGCCCCTCATGATTTTGATGTTCACTGTCCTTGTTACATTCATCCGAAGCAATATAGACCCTGCCGTGAGGCAGGGGTTCGACAACAAAATCCGACATTGAGATAAGCAATTTTCGGATCTGTATTCGCTGGGGGGATAGTAAATGACCACCTATATATAAATAACAATCCAGGTGTTCCTTTGGTCATGGTTGATGGTTTTTACCATGTCCTCAGGAAGTCCCAGGCGGATGCGGCCATGCCTAAGTTGCAAGGTGGGATGGATGTAAAGACGGGTTCACCAAAACATGGATGTCAGGGTACAGCAAACCTTAGTTCAGTATAGTTCAGTAGGTGAGTTTGTTTTTTGGCAAATGGGAACATATCTGGAAAATTATGGAAACATCATGAAACATATGCTGGTCGGTGGTTTCAAACATTTTTTTTTGTCCATAAATTTCCATGATATATGGGATAATCCTTCCCATGGACTTTCATATTTTTCAAGATGGTTAAATCCACCAGCCAGCAATGCACATTGTCCAGGAATTTCACCAAACGTGGAGGTTTAACCGTTTAACCGACTTCCTGGGAGCTGTGCGCGTTTTTCCAATGGATGAGAGCACCGGGTAAGTCTAATTCCTGGGAGTATGCTGTTTAGATTTCTTTAAAAACTGAGAGAGCACCGGGTAAGTCTAATTCCTGGGAGTATGCTGTTTAGATTTCTTTAAAAACTGACCATAGTTGCCAACTAGTTAGTAGCCTTTTCTCTGATTCCAAGTTAATTTTGGCTGTAACATTTGCATTTTGGGCAGTTGCATCTCAACCTGTTGCGAAGTTAGCAGAGTAGTTTGAAGCAAAAATGTGCCGGAACCTGAAGATTTGATGGTACCTGCGTGTATTTGCCATATCATGCCGTATCCCAGATATCCCAGCGATGTTTTTGCTGCAGGACTTCATGCGACTTTAACCAACGTTTACGGATACTTTAGGGGTCTAAGATTGCAACAAATGATGATTCCAGATGATTGATTAGATGTGATGATCAATATGACTTATACCCACAGATTTTAGGATCAATCTTCCCAACTATCAATTGAATTTCAGGACCCCAAAATCGAGGTACTGTACATTGCTGTACCATATCAAGCCATATTTACATTGTGTTGTATAGCCCTTGCCAAGGGCCTTATACAAGGCAAGTACCTACACTAAACCGCTGCCTGAAATGGCCATTGAAACATATTGAAACCAACATTTGTACCTGAAAAACAAATCCCTTGAAACAACATGGGGATGGGTCAAAACCTATTCCCATACTGTGGATGGTTGCGAAATCCAGCACCAGTTGAAAATGGTGGTTTGTCCCGTTATAGTTTTCAACCATCCTTTTGGTGGTTGATCGGATTTCTTCCACCCACCGTACTCCAGGTTTGGTGTCGAGCCTCTTCTCCGGTCTGAACCAGTTGATCAGTCGGGCCTTGTTCGATGGCGTTTGGATTGGCAAGGATGATTTGGAGGTGAGAGCCGCTGGTGGGGTCCACCCGGGATACAACTGGGACTCGGAGCCCTTAGCTACTTGTAAGCTGACTTAGTTCTAGTTAGTTATTTGAAAAGGTGTAGACTGACTTTATCATAGGTTACAACTGCGTAAGTGTCCGGCTCTTCCCAAGTATGGCAGCATAACTCAGTATAACCAAAATTTGGGGATGGGGATTGCATGGCGTTTAATGGGGAGGTAATTTATCGGGATAAATATATACAATATATATATATAATGTGATATAAGATGAAAAAAGCCAATACTATGATTTTGGGGTGTGCTAAAAATGGGGTATACCTTTAAATTACCAATTTTAAGTTAGAAGTTGACGATGAATCGATGATGGATTTGGGGTTACAGTATTTTCAGACAGCAAGTCCAACAAAATAGAATCTGGTAAAAATTTGCTGGCAAGTAGTGGAAAGGGTAACCCTTTCTTTATTTGTGGGTACAATACTCTATGCGTGGATCTAAACTATAATAGATACTGATAGTAAGATATTTGATAGTTGACAAGATTTTAGACGATTTTCATATGTGTTTGTTTTCAGGACATGTTTTGAGTATATGTTGGAGCAACATGAATGACATCCAGAGATGACAGGCCCTAAAAAAAAGATCTCATCACTACATTTTTCATCATTTGTCGACAAAGAACGGAGCTGGACATTTCAATAATCAACCAACCATCAACCAACCATACATTTGTATGGTTCTATTTGCCTCTAGCATTCTGGCTCTTTTGACCGTAACGTAGTACTGGACCAAATCAGTTGGTAAAGATGGCAGTTGACCAGATGACTCCGGTACTAGCTGCTAGCTCACTGTTGCCAGCAAGCATAGGGATTGTTTGAACCAACTTACACTGTAAATGGATCATATGGATCAAAGACCCCCCTAAATTCATCTATGTTCAAGCATCATGAATGTTCATTCATGTGGGTTTTCACCAACAAAACTAGACAAAACTCGGGAAAAACGATGGGGATATGATCGGGGAAACCATGGGAAACCAATACCCCGGAGGCTCGATGTACCATCAAAGATGCCATGCTGCAGTGGCACTGGGGCGAGGCCAGTATCATGTATCGGCCGGTGAGATGGTACCGGCCGAACTACAAGTGTTACATTGTAAATAGATGTGATATATTATATACCAGGCAGTTGCTTCTGCCCTCTAATGGAAACCACTTAGACCCAAAGTGCCAAACGGTCACTTACAAGATCAATCATGCATAAGTGACCTCGTTTCATGAATCCTTAAGTGACCTCTTTGCCTGGCTGATCTCATGATTTCTGCGTGTCACTTGCGTGTCACTTGCGTGTCACTGGGGTTTCGAGGTGGGATGAAACGAGGTCACTTAGGACCCTGAAAAGGTCACTTAAGCCTTGAAAAGGTCACTTAAGGATTGGCTGTCTGCGTGTCACCTGCGTGTCACTTGCGTGTCACTGGTAGGCCACTGTTTGGTTCGTTTCCTTAAGTGACCTCTTTCTACGTTTTCCTTAACTGACCTCTTTCTAAAGGTCACTTAGCAGAAAACACAAACAAGGTCACAAGGAATCGTCTGGTATATATATATATATACATAGATGTCTACCGTATTTTATGCTATTATGATACAGTGATGTGTACTCATATTTAATATATACTGTATATATAATATTGTAATAATAATGGTATATATATATATATCATATGTATAATGTTTTAGTATATATCATATGTATAATGTTTTAGTATATATCATTATATGTATGCATTGTTTCTATACTGTAGATACTCTGTATACAAGGTGGGGCCTGCTAGATAGCCAATTATCTGCAGTTTATGACAGATATAACATGATATAACTATATATAATATATAGTTAATCAGTATGGTACTGGGGGGAGGTGGGGCAACACCAATTGTAGCAATTTTATTGGACCAACTCTTTGACTAATCAGTATCAGTTTCCAACGTCATCATTGTTAGCAATCAGTAGCAACGTCCATCTCCCATGGACATGTTGGAGCCAGAAGCTGTTCAGATGTCCCAGAGGTCCCAGGGGCAATCATTCCACTGTCGAAGACAGGAGTCTGACTTTTCGATTCAATGCATGTGGAGTGAAACCTCTATCTCAACCTTGCCACTCGTCATGGAACGGTTGCAACACGCAGCAAGTTCGGTTGCAAGGCTTCTGCATTCAGGGTTGTCGCAGAGGGAGAGTTCGTAGAACCGATACTTCTTCTTTCTTTGTCCCCCTTTTGACGAGTTGTTGCTGCTTGTTGATAGTGGCTGGTGATTTCAGACCTTTGTTCCAATAACAATCTTCTCCCCCCACGGGCGAACCATTTCAGGGGAATCCTCACCCTTGGAAAGAAATACTTTGAAGGAACAGTGGCAGGCAACTTATATAATTAGTTATATATGCACATAATACATAAATGGAATGTTACATGAATGGGATGTTAATTTACTTGTATTTGGAACACAACACATAAATGGGATGTGGGCTGGATGTTCATGGGGGGATATTCCAAAGTCCATAACCGATCCCAGGTTGGCGGGCGAAATCTTCAAAGGCAGCTTGCGTCCCTTGGCGATTTCCATTGTCATCCCAATAGGATGATGGATATACAATGGAAAAGGTATCCACTGTAAATGGAGGTTTAAAAGGGAACATTACCATATGTATATATATATACACATATATATATACATATATATATGTATATAAATAGTACTTGGAACATCATCCGACTTAGTAAGTGGTTAATAATCATGGTTACTAAGTCCCCGATCCGTAGTTTATCCGGGATGTTTTTCCGCTTTAGAGCTGGGTTATAAGCCCGTTTAACCAGTTACTAAGTGGGATGATCCTCCAAGTAGGGGTAGATACAGTATTCCCAAGAGTCCACTACAACTTGAGGTTTGTTTCATCCTTTTTTTTTGAAGGATCAGGATCCAAAAACTGAATCTAGATTTAGTCCCAAGATCATGCAAACACGCTGTAAACCAGCTGGTTTGGAGGATCAGGATTCGAAAACTGAATTTTCAGTGAAAGCAATTATCCATTTGCATGCGGAGTCTTTTCCCATTCATATGGTATCATATGGTGTCATATGGTATCATATGGTATCATATATATGGTATCATAGTATAGTAGATTTCGTTTGTTGGTGGTTTATCAGCATTGATCATATGCTGGAATGGGCCAAAACCTCTACAGTGCACTATTGTGATACTACATGATTTGGGCAGATGAACACCTGCAACCCATTTTGATGTGAAAACTGGCATACCAGGGATTTGGTCCGCTGGGTGATCACTCAGAACTGACTGTTATGAGCTAGTAACTTCAGAGGGTCTGTGGCCTTCAGAATGGTTAGCAGCAACACTGAGGATCTCATCAGAAATTCGCCTTTTATAATCCCTATTAAGCCCCATTAAGCCCCATTAAGCCCCATTAAGCCCCATTAAGGCCTTATTTTTTTGGGGGGGTCACCTTTTTGGTGGACAGCTTGAACGCCTAAGGCTTGGACGGCTGTCTCCAATGGAGTGACGGCGATGTCTGGCAGCGTCGTGATGGGGAAGAGGAGTGGTGCCATAGGGTCGCAAGAGATTTGGGGAGTCACAATGAGGATGTTTTCAACATGAGTGTTGCGCGAAGATACTGGGAATAGACTGGGAAGATTAGGAGGATATGGGAATATCCTGGAATATCCTTGATTAGAAGGTTACAAATGGATACAAATGGGGTATTTAACCTTCCAAAAGTAGGGGTTTTCCATGATAATTTCATGGGAATGCTGGTTGGGATTTGAATCAACCAGCACAAAAAGGTGGTAGGCAAAAGGCCAACAATCAGGGGGGAAGCTTGGGATCTATCGGATATTTCATGGGATTTTTCTCGGATATATAACAAATTTCATACTATACTGAAATGGAGTATATATCCCATGAAATATCATGAAATATCCGATATATCCCATGAAATATCTGAAATATTTTTATATATGCAATATCCCATGGGATATATACAAATTGCATGTGTGTCTGAAAATGGAGTATACTGTACCCCAATTTGCGGCTATTTTCATGGAACAATGGATGAGAAGCCTGGTGTTTAGAGGCGACCACAAATCATAGCAGTACCATGAGATTGGATTCCTGGAAATCAAGGGGTCGTTCGTGTTCTTTTGATGCTGAATATTCGGATGATTGGGGAATGTTAGATATGTTACATACCAAAGATCATCAATCTTCGCACGTCAGACCAACATTTTGAGTTGTGCGGGCATAGATAGGATGGTGATATGATAAATTTCTGGATGGGTTGATGGGTCTGCAAAATGAGGCCATCCCAGGAATTCCCTCATCCCAATCATTATAGAACGATCATCCGAAATCACCAAGCTATCCCAAAAAATCATGACGAACTGCTCAATGCCTTGGATGTTCTCTCAGCAAACTTCGCAATGGGACCAATGAGACCACCATTCCAATATACACTGAGAGAATCCTTAAAAGAAATGTGCCTGTCTGAAACTACTAGCCATTTTAAGACGTTTATTTTTTTCGACAACACTGGATTTAGGGGTACGGGGTATCCTATTTTCAGGCAAAACCATATACCTGCAACGTCCACTGCGCGTAAAAAGAGATGTCTTCCAAAATTGCAACAATTAGTTGTTTTGCCGGTTCGTTGACAAAGTGCCATTTCACAAAACAGCGTTGTTTTGATTGTTTCCATGCCATTGCCAGAATTGTGTGGTGTTTTTGTGCTATTTTGGGCCCTTTTGCTCAGCACTTCAAATTTTCGCATCAAATGGATGCAGGTATTCATCAAACAGCAAAGAAAACAAGCCATGTGGTGACCCAACAAACCCTCCCTAGAAGGCCCTATCTATCCAGTGGTTAGGAGGGAGCTAAGGAGCTAGGGGTATTAATATTCCCTATATATTCCCTATTCAATGGGGAGCCAAGGAGCTACGGATCGAGTTTCCCAACCATCAAAATCATCAAATGGTAAGTCTCATCTCAGCATTTTGGTTGGCGCTACTTGGCGCCTGGTGCAGGAGACCGAAGAGATCGCCATGGACCTGCGGAGTTTGCACTTTCGCTTGGTGACCTTCAGAGAGATGGTCGCCTCAGGATGGACCTGGAAACAGCGCTGGTGGGTGAGATCCATGGTGAACTGAATCTTTGAACATCTTAATGAAGTCTAATATAAGCTATAAATGATGTTATAAATTGCTTTTAGATGATCTAAGATGTATAATTGTTTCATGTTGTTTCTGATTCTTGAATGAACCAGGAGCTCGGAATGTGAACTTGTATATGCCAACAGTTTGACGTGTTTAACACGCTGCTTGTGTTCAGATTGGTTCGTCTGAAAATAGGCTACCCATTGGCTACCCCAAAATTTGATTTATCCTCATTTTCCCCATTAAATGGCAATGTTGAGGAGATACCTCATTTTCAGTCCAAAATTGTTTATATCATTTTCTATCCCATGTATCCCAAGATTACATGCCAATAATACCCATAGGATCTATGTATGCTATATATGGTAACATTTACCATCAATATACCCCCAATGTTAGCATATATATATACCATACATGGATCCTATGGGATATGCTATGAAATTACCATTTGCGGTGAAGCAGGGTGAACAAAAACCCATCGACAACCAACCGACCCTGGTCGGCAAGGAGACTTCAGTGGCCTGGAGGTTGATGGCCTCGAGGATGCTGTGAGGTGTTTGAAGCTTGGCGACGGAAAACAAACACCTTTGCCATTCATAGGGCACATATGGTTTAATATGGTTAGTTAAAAAAAACAAAAAAAAAAAACATTGGGATTCACTTAGGATTTATGATGGTTCATAGTGGTAAATGATGATTAATAATGGTAAACATCGTGGTTAACATAGTGGTTAACAATGGTTGATGGTGATTGATGGATTCACCGGGAATGAAACGTGCCGCCCCAGTTCTGTTTGTTGGTTTGGTTTATCTAATACTTGCCATACACATCCACAACCATAGAACTTACCATAGTTTTTACAACCACGTTTGCTATCGCGCAAGGGGGCTTCACATTACGGTTGCACAAAGTTATTAACGTTGAAGCCACTCGGCCAGCACCGGTGCTGCTGTTTGTCGAAAAAACATGTGCGATTCCCGGAGAAATGATCAGCCACATTGCCACAGACAAATAGCTGATTGGTGGTTTCAAACATTTGTTATTTTCCATAATATATGGGATAATATAGCTGATGACTATGGGATAATATTTTTAATTTATGGGATAGTCATTAATAGCTGATGGGATAATCCTTCCCATTGACGCACTCATATTTTTCAAGATGGTTAAAACCACCAACCAGATAGGGAAACTGATGATTAACCTTTGGATTTTGGGGTACTTTGTTTTCAGACAAACCCAACCAAGTATATAGCGGATGTTACATGATGTCACATGTACACCTGGGCAACAAGTTCCCCTTTTATTACATGTGCTTACCCTGAGTTCAGCACCCTTGGGACGGCTGTGTGCATCAGGAGCAAAATCGCCCAAACGGCCTCCGCGGATGAAGATGTTGCTTGGTAGATGTCCAGGTTTTTTTTTTTAGATGGAGAAAAATAGGAGATGTTTGATGGAGATCCCCTGCAAATGTATGTTTTCTTGATGTTTGATGCGGCTAAACACCTTGTGTAATGACCTGGGTTTTGAAATGTTTTGAACCACAGCTAGAAGGACTTGGACCTGATGGTTGGAATATTGATAATGTGGTAAACCCAAGAAAAAGCGATCCCCAAATTCACTGTAGATGGGTGGTATAAACCCTTCAAAACTGGAGATTTATTGTTAGAACGTACACATTCGGACTCCCACGTTCGGAACGTCTTAACTTGCCTGGAGTTGGTTGCAAACGGCATTTAGAGCTTGCAGATAGCACTTGCAGATCCCCCATGGCCGGTCCACTTGTCAAGAGAATCTGGGATAATGGGAGTGGGAAACTTGGGAAACCATGGTAAACCCAATAATGAGGCCACCCCAATAATTGGGGCTTTATTATTGTATACCATGGTATACCCGTCTGTAGCCCGTTGTAAGCTTGGTGATTGGACTGGTGACTACTTGCGGATGCAGTTCTCGTTCTGATTGGATTTATAGCGCCGGACAACTACTTAGAACATCGTTTTGGAAATTTTTCGGTGGGTACGCGCGCTCTACTTAGAACATTTTCGGCGAATAGGGGGACGTATGTTCTAAGTGACTTAGAACATATGAGGATCCTCTACTTAGAACATGCCATCATATATACATTTAAATATATGTATATGTATACATACATACAACTTAACATTGCATATTTATATTATATATACAGGTGGTGTGATGTTGCGTTAAGATACATGGAGATGTCTATATTGAGGTATATTGAAATTATATGACCGATTGAGCGGTTGGAATGGTCCAAAGCCTACAGCGGGACGAGATTCGAGATTCGAGATCCTACAGCGGGACATATATTGAGCTGAACAAAATGAGCGAATGGATCCGGATGCTCTAGGTGAGAGGCTACAATTCGAACATCAGGTTTGGAAAGTTTTTATTATATGAATATATAGTGCCGGACAACTACAATATTAAAAATATATTATATATACACAGGATTTTCCAAAAATGCACGTAGATAGCTGGGGAGATTCTTACTTAGAACATGGGGGAACCCCCAAAACCTCTACTTAGAACATCCCGTGAACATATATGTTCTAAGTAGTGGTCCAGGATCTCTACTTAGAACATGTTTTGGAATTCCAAAACCAATGTTCTAAGTATATGTCCGGCACTATATAACTCAATGTATCCAACGTATGTGGGTAGTTGCCATGGTTATATCATGTTATATCTATTAAGTTATTAAGAAGCCCAATTGCACTACCAAGTAGATTAGTGACTAGTGGCATATGCATCGGCATGTTTCATATGTGTGTATTTTCTTTGAAATGTTACCGGATGCCCCAAGTATGGCATTGGGTTTACTTGGATCTGAGAGAGTAAAATCACCACTTTTCGTAGGTAAATGAACTATAAATTGGCCATGTTTATCCATGTTCAATGGCTATGTTAAATTACCAGATGGTATTTTTAATTATATATATATATATGTATGCAACCCATATGTAACGTGGATACAACGTAGTAATCCTTAAAACCCTTGGGTTTTTTCGGTCAGGTCAAAGTCCTAGCATCCAACCTGCAAGAGCAGATGGAGCGATGCAAATCGGCTGGTGAGTTTTCTTTTGTGTGGTGGTTGGGCTGATGATGAAAAAAATGTAGATCAACAACATAATCAAGATGACATACATGAGATTTGTATATGCATAATATACATAATATATAATATATATACACAAGAATCATTTATTTATTTACATTAATTTGACTGTGTATAAATAGAAAAATGTATATACATAGCTATGTAGACAAATACTGGGCTAGTTGGTTCTTTATAGAATCCATGTTTCGTTGCTGTTGGTTTTGGAAAAAAGCACAGCGGATGGTTGTGAAACCACAAATGGTTGGATGACTACTGGTTACTGTATGTTACTGTAGGGTCCCCAAAGAGATAGACATTTGTGTGGTTATCGTTTTTTTTTACTGGTCAGTTTGATCAAGTTTCCGACATGTTCTATCTATTGATATAAACTCATGCTTCCCACCCAAATGCTTTGACATCTATCGGTTGGTGATGTCTCAACACAATGCAGATGTATTGGTGAATCTCTTGATGGTTGAAACTCCCTGTGCTGACGGTGAAACAAATCCCATTTGTTTGAAGAAGTTTTCCCTGGAAATGCAGTAGTTAATATTCATGTTCCTTATAACTCCATACATCCCGCATTTTCAGACAGACCCAAATCATATTGAGCTGAATATATCATATTATACCCCCATTACATGCTTCGGGGCGTTCGCCATAAAAATGCCCATGTTTTAAAATAACCATAGATTCATATAGATTTAATCCTTGTCCAACATCTTGAACCCAGCCATATTTCATAGAAAGCAGTTGCTACCCCCTTGGGTGTGACACCCTCCTTATCTCGGGGTGGGAGCAGGTAAGTCAGTCAAATAACAACTACTCTAAAGAGCCCATAAAGGCCTCACAATCCTGTTCAGTGCCTCTAAAACCCATCATCATCCTTTATAGTGACTCTTACACCCTTCATAATGGCTCTTAATCCCTCTTGAGTGCTCTTAACAGACGAGAGGCATGGACTCAACTCATAACTCGCTCATATCAGCTCTCAAGTGCTCTTTTGGTGATGCTCTTGACGGCTTAGAGCAGTTGAGATGGGGGAGGTTACATCAATAATACCTGCTGTTTTAATCTGTTTTACAGGGTTTCCCCACATCAACAACTATGCAACACACAGGGGAGCCTCCGCTCGATCTTGGGTTCTGTTCAAAGTGGCCCTTCAAGATGAGGGGGGTCAGATACAGAGGGGTCGCTCCTGCTTTCTATGAATATTGTTGGTTTATATATATATATATTATCCTTCCCTTTGTTGGTTCTATTCCCTTGTATTCTCAAAGTTCACCACGGAAAAGCACGTAATTATTGACGGTATGAAAATACTCCTGGCACAAGATTCCTGATAACATATCCTGAAAACAATGGAAACCTCATTCTGATTACTGGGAATATTGGGACATGATCATTGTTATTTTCTGGAATTATGGTATCCCAATAGAATACTACAATATACAGATACATATACATATACATACATATATGATATATATATATGATATATTTATATATATATGATATATATATATATACATATTCCCACAGTATTGCTTGTTTTGATAGGTGAAAAATAGTCATCCAGCATTTTTTCGCCCTTCCCCGTCAGGTCAAGAGCAGCTCCAGTGGGTCTTAGAACTTGGCAGCTCCAAGGCCGTGAAGGATTCGGGTCTCATCATAAATGCTTCAGAAGCGGTAGGTAAATGCTTGGGAAAACATGAGTACCCTCTGGTAAACTAACGTAGCTATGGAAAATCACCATTTTTCATGGGACATTCCACTATAAATCACCATTTTCAATAGCTATGTTAAATTACCAGAGGGTAATTGATGTAAATTATAGATAATTATAGACTATATAGATTCCAATATATAAGGGGGTCTTGATTTTGCGGATCATTTGCAAAGCCATCATATTACGCTGCTGGTATATAATGCGTATACATGTGGTGATATTTGGGGAAGGTCTAAAAGGAAAGTATACCGTGAAAACGGTTTCATTGACGCCTATTGTCACTATAATACCTTGACATGTTCTACGACAGCCATTCGTTGCCAACGACACGTAAGGATGACAGCTCGCAGTTGGCCTCGGTTAGGAACTGGCATATCATATTCAATTAGAAAGTACCTTGCATAATTTACCCTCCGGTAAACATACAAAGCTATGGAAAATCACCATCATTAATAGGTAAATCAACTATTTCTATAGGCAATGTTCAATAGCAAACTCTTAAATTACCAGAGGGTAGAGTTAGATGTTTTTTGTCGCGGGTAATTTCACGCCTTGGTCCCAACCACTCTGTCACACCGATCTTCGGACGTAGCCATGTCGATGTCAACAGCCGCCATTTCACTGTGACGTCTCTGCGAAGTGGAATAAGATGGCGGAGGAAAGCGAGGTGACGTTTGATGTTCAGGCGCACTTGGATTTACCCCAGGTACCATCTGGTACTCGGAAAATGGTCATTTTTCACAGGTTGAATTAATGATGTACAATTGCAAATGGGTAATTTTCTCCATGGCCATAATCAATCTGCCAGAGGTTAAACTTAAGATTCTACTGCAGTTCAGTACATCAAACAATGAACGATGTGACTGTTGAGTGTGACTTTAGTGGTTGCATTTGATATATCCTGGTGTTTCATGTTGCCGTACCTGATTTTCAAGCAATCTGTGAAATCCTACACATTCACATTGAGATGGGAGGATTGTGTTTTATCAATCATTCTCCCCATTAAACTGGCCATAGATTGGGGGTGCATCCGCCCGCCGTTTTTAGAGACAGCCGCATGGTATTAAGACTGGTCATATATCCAAATGAGCCATTAAAAATACCCTGGTTAATTGATTGCTATAGGGGATTATACTACCTGGTTTTTTGGGGATTATGATAACCCATAGATACCCATAGTAGGGAAACCTATTAACCAACTAGTATAATGAGATGGGATAGGGGTATTTTTAATGGCTCAAATGATATCCCAATGGTACGCTGGCAGCGCTGCTAGGTACACTTGTTGAACGGCGAAGAATTGACATTCAAGAAACTTTCTGGATACTGGATGGATCATAGCCATCCACAAGTATATGTTTATATTTATAGGGTTGGATGGGTTTAAGTTACACCTTATCCCCCTAAAAGTTGAAGTTCTTTTCTGGGTATCAACAAGCCACCAAGGATATACAGTTGGACGTCAAGTACAGCAACTGGTTTGTGACACCCTGCCAGCCAAAGCGGGAACTGCAATCTCTTTGGCTTCCGACACTTCGAAGCTGTTGCTACAGCAGACTTTGCTTCGACAAACAGCGGGCAATGAAGGTGAGCGAGAGACCAAAATCACATCGCTGATGGGGAATTTATATATATAATATAATATATATATATATATAGTATATACAACATATATATATACATATAATTTAATATACAACATATATATATATGCATATAATATATGTTATATATATGCAATATACAACATATATATATATATAACATATAATTAATATGGATATTTATATATATATAATATATATATATATATTATAGATATACTCATATTGACACGACAAGGGACATGTCAAGCACTGGATGTTTCAAGTCTCTCAATCAACCAGCAGTTGTGGGAATCTCTATTTTGTCAGGCAAAGATTGCATCATGGATGGAGTGGATAGGTAAACATTGGCTGATTGCTTCCCGGAGTTCCCAAAATGTACTAGCCTTAAAACTATTTGCCCGAGCCAAACAACCCATAAACCATGGCTCGTTGCATAAGTGGTTACCTTCAACCAGTCAAAGTGAATATAAGTGAATAAAACATGCTAAGATACAGGGCAGATCTCTTGTCCACAACACCAAGCTTTTTTTTGACGAAATATAGCGACCTCACTGGGCAGTTGATGAATACTTCATCAGGACGATTCGTTTTTCCCCCATCCACAGTGTCAGAACAAAGCAACCTGTATCTTTTCGGATCAGAGTTATGATTCCGATGACCACTTCACATGGCCTGCATGGTGGATTGAATTTATGTATCAGTCGTTTTAGATTAAGACAATGATTTTTAAAGGCTCCCAACGCGATCCGTGGTCCGAGTCGTCCGAGACCCAAGCATCAACTTTCCAAGTAGAAACTTCTGCAGGAGTTTATGGGGAAAGGGTAGTGTTGGCAAGCCCAAGAGGAAACACTTTCAAAATGATCGACATTTCTGGTTTTTGAATGTCAGCAGCTCTAGCAGACTCTAGGAGTTTGCACAGATAATCTTCGGGAAACATGGAAAACAACAATAAGCCGACCGAGATGATCCTATCAGAATGTTTCCCCAGAAAAAATCTACTGACAATTATGGCAAGCATCCTATAGTAATTATATACCCACCCTACAACATCTTAAGCGACAATCCCAAATCTTTGGATGATTTTGTTCTATAACCACCACAAAAGAAATATCATGCCATATCATGCCCCTATAAGCACCTACCCAAAGTCAGATAGATCCCCCAAAAAATATGGGATTATAGATTATGTTCCCATTTCACGATGATGTTCCCAGCTAGATTTCCCAGCTGTCCACGGGTGCACCCGGTAGGCTTGGTCACCTTCTCCTGCACCTTTGTTCCCATGGCTCTCTACGCCGCCTGGCGGCTGTTGGATGCACGGCGCCACATCGATGGTGCTCTGGCAGAGCAGGAAGAGCTGGCACTACAGGGCCTGGTGCAGATGAGACTGGGATGGGGATAGAACCGGAGAGAGATGGGATCATGTTGGATAATCACGGGGATGTAATGGAATGTATTTTCACATATTATATTGATGTATACATATACACATAGATATTATATACATATACGTGTATATATGCATGTATGTATACATATATATATATATAGTGTGTATATATAATGTGTATATATATATATATCTATACACTGTATATACAGATATGTATATGTATGTGAGTAATATATATATATATGCAGAAGCCACTTAGGAGTTAGTTGCATATAGCTAAAACCAACCAACTATATGTTATATGTAATATAACGGGCTTATTGTGCAGATTTAGTGTGCATGGGTTAATTATGCGGGAATACCTTCAATTGTATGGCGATAGTGGGGAAAATGAATCGCCAACCATTGGATTTTGGGTATCCAATTTTTAGTCACACCCATATTAATGTGTTGTTCTGGCATGCGTTTATATATACTTTCATAGTTTAGCTTGATGTGTATTGCTGTTTGTTTATATTATTGGTGAATGAGAGTTTTTGTTTTTCAAAGACAAACCATGCAGCTTTTCAATGTCTACTGGGGATGGTTGTTGTTGAAGAAATATGCGCAGATTTTGGTTGAGGAAAAGCTACGTAAAATGCACCAAAGGTTCTACCGTTTGGGTAAAAAACATGAGGTTCATACTGGTCGCTATTTTGATGTGTAAAGGATTTCCCTTTGTACATTCTGCCCAAACGACTCAACTAGCCACTTGGGGTATGAGTGAGGTGAACCTGCTTGTGATTCCAATATATATAATAAAATTGTTAAATGTAATATAATATAATTTAATATAATATAATACAATATAACATGATATGATATATAATATATAATATAACATAAGATCATATATAATATATAATATATAATATATAATATATAATATATAATATATAATATAAAATATATAATATATAATATATAATATATAATATAAAATATATAATATATAATATATAATATATAATATATAATATATTATATATAATATATAATATATAATATATAATATATAATATATAATATATAAATAAATTAATATAATATTTAATATAATATAATATAATATATATATATATATATAATATATACATTCTGATAAGTTTGATCTCTATCATACCTTCAACCGGGATGTGGACAGTTGGGATACGACCAATCTTTCCGGTTGCTTCAGAATTGTCGAAGTCTACTTCGATTTATTTTGGGGGTTTCTGTCAGAAATGAGATGAGAATGCCCTCCTGATCCAACTGTGTTTTTCAAATTGAACATACCAACGGTTGTTGGCTTATGAATGTTTATGAATGTTTATGCTGGCTGATAAAAATACTTTGGATGTTCCTTCTTACCTGGGATGAAGCAACTTTGACCGATATGGGCCATGGGAGTTGAGCCGTACTTCGCCGTACTTTGCCCGGAGGAAAGGTGTGGAGTCTTCCATCATTCTGCAGCTTCCCCCAAGTCTCCGGCGCTTCACTGGAGGATTTGGCCGCCAAGATGCAGTGTTGCCAAGCAAACTTGTGACTGGTCGAAAGTTGTGATGTCTTTCGTTTGTTGGAAGCCGTGACTGATCAAGTTTGATAAAGATACAATGGTTTTGAATAGCAGATATGCTCAGTTTTTTTTATGGCAGTTTATATATAAATGATATAACATAATATAATATAACATGACATAATAAAATTTAATATAATATAATTTAATATAATATAATATAATGTAACATATAATATAATGTAATATATAATGTAATATAAAATATAATATAAATATAAATATAAATATAAATATAAATATGATATAATATAATATAATGTATTATAATATAATATAATATATTATATTATATTATATTATACTATAATATATTATATTATATTATATTATATTGTATTATATTATATTATATTATATTATATTATATTATATTATATATATAAATAGATAGTGTAGATTTCTGGACAAATCAACCTTGAGATTTTGGTGCTTGAGACATGTTGGTCGACCGCCAGGAGAGCTTGAGCCTGGCAGACCTGAACCAAAGTCTGAAAGTCATCAATCTTCCGCAGACTCTACGAGACTTGACCTTAGGTGCTAATTTCAATCAAAGCTTGGTGGGGGTGAAGTTTCCAAGCAGCCTGGAAAGCTTGACATTTGGGATGTGGTTCAACCAGAGCTTGGAAGGCGTAAATTTGCCCTGCAATCTGCTGAAACTCACATTTGGTGAGAGTTTCGATCAGAGCTTGCAAGGTGTGAAGCTGCCAGAGAGTCTCTCTGGCCAGTGGTTTTATTGGTTATTTGTTTTCGATTTTTTTCTGGTATTTTCCAGTGTTTTCTAGTATATATTTTCTAGTATTTTCTAGTGTTTTCTATTGTTTTCTAGTGTTTTCTAGTGTTTTCTAGTGTTTTCTAGTGTTTTCTAGTGTTTTCTAGTATTTTCTAGTGTTTTCTTGTGTTTTCTAGTGTTTTCTGGTGTTTTCTATTGTTTTCTAGTGTTTTCTAGTGTGTTCTAGTGTTTACGATGGGATAATGATGGCATAATCTTCGGTTGCTGTTGCGTGGCATCCCTGATCCCCCAGTCCGGTCTCTCTGGCAGCCAGCTGCACCAGCAGGTCTGCAGAAGTTGACCTTTGGGAGACATTTCAATCAGACATTGGAAGCTGTGACGTTGCCTGCAGCTCTGGAAGACTTGACCTTTGGTGGTCATTTTGACCAGACAATGCAGGGAGTGAATCCAGGATTTGCTTCTGATTTTTGTTGTTTTTGTTGATGTTGCCTCCCTAAAATCCAACAGGATAGCAACACTTGGGACTCTACCTCCTGGATTAAATAGTAAAAAAATGCTTGGATATGTTTGCCGGAGAAAATGATGCATTTATAGAAGACTATCCTATTTAAATTCCCATTTAGTTCGAGGCTTGCCCAGCTTGCCATGTTTGATGACATCGGAGGGGCCCGCGACGTGCAAGGAATCTTCCACAAGGTCTTCAAAGCTTGACCTTCGGCGACACCTTTGCACAGAGTATGGATCAAGTGACGTTGCCTTGTGGACTTCAAGGCTTGCATTTTGGCGACTGGTTTGACCAAAGCAGAGGAATGAGCCTTTGACAATTTGAGGAACAGCTAATAAAAACTAAAACTCATCAGAATCAAGCAGAATCATTCGCATCAGAACTGAACGAAATGGGATTGGAATGGATTGCGAATATGAGATGCTGTTTCTATCTGTTTCTACTGTATTCGAAAATGTATCTGTGTTGCATCATTTTGATTCATTTTGCAGGTGCCTGGGGGTTCCTCTTTTAATTCAGGAGTTGATTCGACTTTTTAAATTACCCAGGTATCTAAACAACATGTCTTGTTCCCCTCTGTAAGATGACCAATCCCAGGAATTTGCCCAGCAATCTACGCAGCTTAACTCTGGGTGGAAGGGGTTCCAGCGTCTTGAAACAGCTGAAGTTGCCGAGCACTTTGCAAAGTTTGACTCTGGGAAAAGGTGCTGTGGCTCAAAGTCATTGTTTTTTGTGGACACCAAAACAAAACGGTGGATAGGAATGGATGAACAGGAACCTATAGTATATCCCTGGGGGTTCATGCTTACTATATATGTTCATATGTATGGTTTGCGGTCGTGGCGCCTCGCCCCAGGTTTCAACGAGGGCTTGAAGGGTTTGCCAGAGAACCTGCAGAGCTTGACCTTTGGGACACAATTCAACCAAAGCCTGGAGGGTTTGAAGCTCCCGAAGCTTCAGAGCTTGACCTTTGGCAACAACTATCGACAGACGCTGGAAGGTATGGGTCAAAGGTATTCGTCAAGACCACGACATTTTGAACTGAAAGAAACAACATGAGGTACAGTAATAGTTAATATCTATAATATATATATATATATAAATTATGAATAATTATGGATACAAATTGCAAGTCCACTTGGTCGAGTCTCTAGCAGATTTCTGGACCCGCAGGTGTGGAGTTGCCTGAAAGCCTTCAGAGCCTGACGTTTGGAAGATATTGGAGCCACAGCCTCGAGCACATGGTGTGGCCACGGGGTCTTCAACAGTTGACTTTTGGTGACTTGTCAGAATGCGAGGCACTCATATGCTCACCCTTGACACCATGCAATAAGCATGGAGCTAGCATATGCTCCATGTATGGATAATTGATGCATGTATTTTATCACCATTCATGTGCTTCAAAAACTGGAACAACATGTTGCACAAGTAGATGAAAATACAGTATCATACATAGAGCATAATAGAGCATCATAGAGCTTACTGTGTACCCTGAAGGCTCATGGACACCGCAAACATGCCCATAGAGAACGTTGTCCATGCCCAATTCCTCGGGCATATGCTTCCCTTGTGGGGTCTCCACTTTTATTTGAAAATTTTGGAGGTCTTCTATTGTTCTGGATTGATGCGCTGTGTAGATATGAGGGTCTGTAAAAGAAGTTGGGTACAGCCCCAAATTACGATACTAGCGTGGAAAATTCGTGGAAACATCATCATTTGTGAACTTGGGATACCCACTTATGTGATTTAGGAATACCCAATAATATTTATTGGGATACCCAATAAGATCATATTCTCAGAAAGAATCCGTGTGAGTTTGTGTTTGAATTTGCAGCAAGTTTTGACTTTGGACTCTCCCAGTCGGGTAGTCTGCACTATCCAATGCAGCTTACAAGCCAGCAGTCACAAGTATTACTAAATCCCAGTATGATCATAAGTCATAAATATCTGTAGATGTTTTTTTTTGTTTCCCATCTTTTTGTGATGTGCAAACAGTTTGCAGGTGAGAGGTTTGGGTGTCGATTGGACTGCGTGAGGTTCCCCAGCAGCCTCTCGGACAGGAATAGGATCCGTGGCGCGGAAAAAAACAGTGACAACGGGGCTAAGTCTACGTTACCTTACTTACAATGGATGGATATGGATTATTTTATAAATTACAATGTTATCATATTACATGTATATTATGTTTTATATTGTTGATGATATTTCTATTTATGTATATTATGACAAATCATGTTCCGAGCTCACAGGTCTTCAAAGCTTGACATTGGGCGACTACAACTTGCGGCTGCCCAGCGGGATTTTACCTGATGGTCTCCAATACTTGAGATTTGGAAGTATGTTTAACTCGAGCCTTGAGTATGCAGAGTTGCCAGAGAGTCTTCAAACCCTGATTTTTGGTCGAAGCTTCAATCAAAGCTTGGAGAAGGTAAAGTTACCAAGCCTTCGAACTTTGGTCTTTGGTGATGATTTCAACCAGAGCCTGGAGAAGGTGGAGTTTCCCAGCCTGGAAAATCTGACTCTTCCTGCTGGATACAACCACAGTTTGGACTGCGTCAACTTTCCCGCGACTCTTCGTAGCCTGGAGTGTCGAGGGATCATGGTCAGCTCCGTGTGAGCGAAAATTAGAGCGGCGCTTGGGGTGGAGCTTGTTTCCGGGTAACCTTTGGATGGCTTATTGAATAATCTGCAAATATGTTCCCGTGAATGGGGTTACAGTACATATATAATCGATTATAATCGTATATGTGATATATCTTGATATGTAGATATGCTGTATAGTATCACCTTTTCTTTGCGGTGTCCAAGATTGGCCATGGTTTCTTCATTTGTTTCCGATATGGTTTGGATGCTCGTGGACAATTTGTGACTGAAGTTTCAGCTCTCCAGGTGGGCTCACGATTCTGAACACCCCAAAAATTGCTGTTCATACTAACTGCTAAAGATCAATGCTCCATGCCAAGCACTAGAATTATTGATTTGTAATCGTTGGATTGCTTTCAAGGACAATGTACAGGAAACCCTTAGATCTCTTGGGGAAAAGCATGGTTTCCGGTTAAGATGTGTCCTTCAACCCATCCAGTGAAGTCATGTTTACTAAAAACGACCAAGCTCCGCCGGGGCCAGCCAGGCGGGTGCTGTGCTCCTGCAAGGGCAGAAGCGTTTGGCGGAACAGCTGACGCAGCTTCAGGAGATGTGTCCCGTTGTTCCCTGTGTTTTTTCCCTATGGAAATGTTCCCCCAACGTTGGTCCTTTGTGGGGTGAATGATTGCAAGTATCATGAACTATCTATAGTGATTGTTGATAGATATGTGAACTTATCCACGTTATTTAGTCATGTGAGCTTATGTGACATATATATATATATATATATATGAGCAGGGACCCCCACCCCCCCCCCCCACCCAGCCAGATGGTTCCCCCCCCCCTGTGGCAGGGGAGGGGGGGTTTTCTCAGCAGCCAAGCCATGGTGTATGTAGTCTTTATAGTGCATATAATGCATATGTATCGATAGTTAGAATGGATATACTATATGTAATATAGAGTGTATGTGTAGTGTATATATATAAACATATATATAATATGTAAGATATAAATAGAATATATGCAATATATATATATATTTGTAATATATATATATTTGACATATATATATATACATATATTGAACATACAAATATACATCGTATATGTGGTTTTTGATAGAATATAGATAGTATATGCCACATGTACTGTATCCACAGTAGATGTAATATATACAATATAGGTAAATATGTTCGTTGAATAAATTTTACATAGTATATGTGGTATATAGAATATCGACAGCAATACACGCTGTATATCTAGAGTTTATGTATATATATATATATGTATATATATATATATATATATGCATATATATATATATACGTGTACAGTATGTACAATGTAAACGAAATATGTGATAGATACAAGATCAAGATATCAATCTGTAGTATCTAGAATGTGCATATATATATACATATATATATATATGTATTTATTGTTTCTCTACTGTACATACGTCTAGGTTTGCATAGGTAAGCTTTGCGTAATCCATAGGTAGCAAATATGTTGTAAACCATGTGCAAGGCACGCTATAGGCGGTTCGAAAAAAAGGTTATGATAGAAATATACAGGTAGACAAGGTCCGTTGACGAGGACATGGTCAACGCGTCATCTGCGCACATTGAAAGCGAGTCATCTGCGCACATTGCAAACGAGTCATCTGCGCACAGAGAAACCGCGTCATCCGCGCACAAAGAGCGGTCATCCGCGCACATTGAGGCTGGGAACCAGCCAGGGGGGTGGGGTGGGGTGGGGTGGGGTGGGATGATAACGTGCATGTTCCTATGCACACACAGGCACAGCAACCTCATCATCTTTCTTGCTGGAGTGGTGTGAGACGAGTTCTGTGAGTTGTGAGATGAGTGGAGTTGTGTGAGATGAGTTGTGTGAGTTGTGAGATGAGTTGTGTGAAAGAACTTGGGTGAACTTCAGTGAGAGAACACGAAAGCAGCTCCACCAAATGGCACACGAAAGCAGCTCTTGAGTGAGTTGAGTTGTGTAAGATGAGTTGTGAGAGATGAGTTGTGTGAGGTGAGTTCTGAGACTTGTGAGATGAGAGGAGTTGTGTGAGTTGTAAGATGAGCGGAGTGGTGTGAGACGAGTTCTGTGAGTTGTGAGATGAGTGGAGTTGTGTGAGATGAGTTGTGTGAGTTGTGAGATGAGTTCTGTGTAAGAACTTGGGTGAACTTCAGTGAGAGAACACGAAAGCAGCTCCACCAAATGGCACACGAAAAAAAGCTCTTGAGTGAGTTGAGTTGTGTAAGATGAGTTGTGAGAGATGAGTTGTGTGAGATGAGTTCTGTGACTTGTGAGATGAGAGGAGTTGTGTGGGATGAGTTCTGTGAGTTGTGTGAGACAACTTGGGTGAAGTTGAGAGAGAAAGAAGCAACTCAGGAGGAGAAGGAGGAGAAGGCAAGGAATACAAACCTAAAAACAAAAGCCCCACACAGAGATGTGAGGAAAAAAACATAACTTGATGAGTTGTGTGATGATGTTTAAAAAAAAGCTAGAAGAAGAATCATGTTACAGAGATACAATGACAAAAACACACAACAAAAACGCGCACAGACGACCAACCGTCTGACGTGCACAAACGACCCACTTTTGACGTGCACAGACGACCCCTGAACCGAGGTCGTGGCTCGCAAGTGCTGCAAATAACGTAGAGATGCGAGGTTGGAGGGGTGGAAAGGGGAGTATATATGTGTATATGTGTATGTATATGTGCAAATAACATGCAAATACTAGGTTTTGGGGGGGTGGGGGGGGTTAGGAGTGGGGGGGGGGATACCATTGGGGGGGGGGGGGGGGGGGGTGGGGGTGTTCCGGGGACCGGTCTCATTAATATAATATATATATATATAATATATATATATGTATACATAATTTGTATAATATAGATATAATGACGACATCGATATAGAACAACATACTACATGCGTATGGACATAGGCATTCGTATGTGTCCATCCACTACACTTTTTTTGTATGTTGCTAGGTTTGAATTGTGTTCCTCATGTTTCCACTAGTATGAACCCCCATTAGCCATAAATATATCTTCCATAAACATCCATAAACGACATGTTTCCTACTTATTAATTTTCTTTGCAATCATTTGGGGGGCCTACCTTGTACTCGTCATTATCCTCACGCCTCCTTTTCAGTGATTGCCTGATCCCTCGAAAGAGGACAGCCAGAATATGATGATACATGTGTGTGTTGTTGGTATGTATATAATGTGTATATATATATATATGTAATGCAATACAGTACAGTACAGTATACACATATATTTATATATACACACACGTGTTCAATTATATATATATATATAGTATAATGTGTATATATACAATTACATTTATATATTATATATATACGCATGTATATATATATATATGTATGTGTATATATATATACACACACATAAAAATATATGTGTATACTTCTATTCCAGAACGTTTTCTTGGCTCTTTGTCTCATGTGCTTGCTGTGCCTTCAAAGGCGGTAGCTCAACCACCATGTGGTGAAGCATTGTGAAGCCATTGGGTTCTAAGGCCACCATTCCCATGTCTAATTGGTCAAAATTGGAAAATGCTTGGAAAAAGGGTGAAACATAGTGATTTAATGATAATTTCATGGGGGAAAATGGTATCTTATAGCCTCTGGGGATTTAACATAGCTATGAAAAATCACTATTTTGAGTAGGTAAATAGTCTATAATTGGGTTATTTTCCATAGCAAACTGTTCAACTACCAGAGGGTATATGTTAATTCATTTGTCGTTCGTTTCGTTTCGTCGTCGTGCATGGTTATTTCTCTTTTCACTCACCTGTTCCCGCCATCTGTGCATGGGGCAGTTTGTGAGCGTGGATCCCACATGAAACGCGTCTATAATTGGGTTATTTTCCATAGCAAACTGTTCAACTACCAGAGGGTATATGTTTGATACATGTTAGTACTGAAAATAGGTCTTGCAAGACAAAAAAATACGATCTATTTCGAGTCTCTTTTGCTGCATTTGCTTTCATTTTAGATCTTGTATTAGGTGTCTTTCGTGTTCTAGCCAAGTGGAAGAAACAAGTTTATGCCAGGGCCCTTTCTAAATCAGCTCAAGCCCAATTGCAACTAATTAGGTTTCCAGATTTTTGCAGCTGATCTCTAACTTGTTCAAGGATAGTTTTTGACTGAAAAGCAAAGAGTCAAACTCACAACTGAAAATCCACATTTAGATCAGTATTGGAGTGTTTTGAAACATATGTTTTTGGACCGTTTGAGTTACAGATCAGCTGTCCACGTGATCGCTTTTTCATATATCTGCATTTCCCGCGACTTTGGATTATAGAATCACCAGTTTCGAATTTATCATGTTCAAATCCAATTGAATCCCATGAATTATCAGTAAATCTCATTAAATGTCCATGAAAAAGCTCATTTGTTATTCCCACTCAATCTTCATGTTTTCATCATTTTTCATGCTAAGACTCCCACTATGAAACCCCATTCTCATTGCTGCATCACAGCCAGGAGACGGCCATCACTCCGCAGCTGGACGCGGTGCAGAAGCGAAGTCAACGCTTCCTGACGCACCTGGCCACCGACGACAAGGCGTGGACTCGTGGACTCGTGGAAGCCCAGCCATTCCCTGAGTTGTTTAAAGGTTTTTGATAGGAATAGATGGTGATTTATTGAGCATCAGCATCTTAATGTAAGGGCTAGAAGTTGAACTTTAGATTTTTGGGTGGGGACTGAACTTTAGTGATAGTGGTAGACTCGTATAATCATGGGATAATTATTATGGGAAATCGGAAATAAGCAGAATTGCAGAATTGCAGCAGGTACTGTGGTGTACAGTTATATCATGGGATAATTCTGAACTATATATATATGATATTGGTGTGTGTTTGAGATGTTTTACTTTATCCCAGTAAAACCTGTATTAATCCCTTCCATTTTTGCGTATTAATGAAGTAACACACATGGTGATATACAACCAACTTGATATGATTTAATTACTGGGTGCTACTTTGAACACTTA